ACAAAAAAGGGTCTGCCATGGAGATTATTCTTTATTAGCAACTTGATTTATATAGAGTGTTTTAGTTTTCCAAGTGCATTCACATCTATTATTTAAAATGAATGGAATTCAGTGAGTGTTTTCTCTCTTGGGACCATTTAAATTTAACATTTTTTTCCTTAATTGTAGAATGAGAAATTTCATCTTTTGTCAAAGATAGTTAAGACAAGTAGAGAAATCTGGGAGTTTTAAAGGAGACCTGGGAACTCTTAAATCGCGGTGTACTTATTTATTTGTACGTCTGAGATGAAAGGTAGTCCTGAATGATGAGTGGAGAGAGGACCAGCTTATTGGAGATTTACTCCCTACTCTAGTTGCCCCCTTGCTCTTTTGAGAAGGAAAGTCCTTGGAGCTCACTAGTGGTTGCTGGAGTTAGGGACACACTTCGGTCACCCGTTTTTATCTAGAACTTGGAAGCTCTTTCTGCTTTGGGGAACATTTGTCTGCCACAGCATCTCCCGTTATCTCCAAGACTTCCTGATTGACATATATATATTCTTTTTAGATATACGTGTGTATATATATATTTTTTTCCCATAACATTTAGCATTTAATGACTTCTGGCTTGCTTTTTTGGAATCATAGAATTCATTCTTAGGTCTCCAGGGTTGTTTTCCCTTCTCATAATGATGTTTTGGTTATAAAGATGATTTGCTGTTAATAGAAATGTAGTCCTGTGTTCTTTTTATTAGATGTATAAAAGCTAGCCAGCTAGTTTTTTTCTGTCCTTGCTTCCTTCCTTCATCCCTCTCTTCCCTCCCTTGATTCCTAAATCTGCACCAGTATTCTGTACTGTAATACCTGTACCTATATTCTGTACCAGTAGAGACAGTACTTGTACCTGATTTGAATTAACATCTTACAGAATTAGGTTGTCAACCCCTGGTACTTTCTAAGTCAGCCCACTGGCAGAGAGTCAACAAGAAGAAGAAACTTCTCCCCCTGAGAATTAAAAATGTAAATTTTTCTGTTGTAGTGAGTTTTCCTAAGAGTTCCTTATCTCTTCGTTCAGTGGTTCTTGAAGTGTAGTCCTAGACCAGCTGCAGCAAGCATCACCTGGGAGCATGTGAGGAACGCACATTCTTCGCCCCGATCCAAAGTTTCCGAATCCAGAGACTGGAGAGTGTGCCCAGCGATCTGCTGTTTCTGATGCATGCAAAAGTTTGAGAACCACTGACTTAGATAACGGGAGAGTCCCTCCAGATTCTGCTTTGCGTTTCCTTTGTCCAGAGTCCTTGTGTAGCGTAGTTCTGGACCAGTTTTTATATAAATTTCTAAGCTTAAAGGTTCATAGAAAAAATCTCTGTGGTTAATTAAAAATTTGAACCCTAGACTTGGTGTGAGGAGCTAACCTTGTGGTTTGAATTCTCAGGGGAGAAATCCCTTCTCCAATTCCCAGTCTAGATAGAGTAGACATGTTTCTTTATCGAGTCTCTGTGCCAGTGGGCTGACTTTTTCTAGTCTTCCCTTTTATTGAAAGTACAGTACTTTGGAAATTTTGGCTTTATGCGGGGGCCTCAGTGATAAAGACCTTATCTTCTGTCCCCCTTGAGAGCATCAAAAAAACAAACCTGGTTTTTAGCTTTCCTCTTTGTTTCTGGTCCTTGGGAAATTCCCTATCTGAGTTCAGAAATGCAATTAAAAAGTATTTTCATTGTATTTAAGCCATTATTTCTAGATGTTTATATTAGGATTTTCAGATTTGGTCTTCGATTTTGTCACCACAGAAGTCTTTATAGTTGCTTTATCAAAGTTAACAATATTTATGTTCTTTTCTATAACTACAACAGTGATCTTTCATGCCTTGTCCTAGGTTGATTATAATAATTGAAAACCAGTAAGCATTCTTCATAGTATTAGGAATATCTGTACAGTCATGAAGAACTAAATAGCATGTGTGGCCTGTGGAGGAGGAGATGGAATCTCCTATCTCTTCCACCCAAAGAATGCTTTCGGTGACAAAATGATACGGCTTTGTTTTTGTCTTTGTTTTTCCTAGACTCTCGGATTGCCTTTTGTATTTCTTACGACAAAAGAGCCATGTGCTTAAATTTTATTAAGAACTTCCAAGTTCTCAATCATATTGTTTTCGAATCCACATTATTTAGGGCATTTTTCTCCGAGTCCTCTGCCTTCTTACTTTAATTTAGAGTGATTACTTTTCAGACCCGCTATACCGCCGTCATCGTGGGATTTCTTTTCATTGCACTTCTAGGCTACTTCTACTGTTGACTGGCTTCTGTGTTAAATGTATGTCCTTAAGTAAAAAGAGAGCACGTGAGCACATATGAAATCAGTCAAGTAAAATTTTCTGAAAGTTTGAATCTTTATACATCTCTCAGAGTCTTTGTTTTTGCCCTCACACTAAATTAGTAGTTTGGTTGGAGTGTAGAATTCTAAGTTCAATAGTATTTTTCCTCAGGGCACTTTGAGCATCTTTTGTTTTCTGTGGGAATTCTAATGCTAATCTAATTCTTGTTTCCTGTGTAGGTTATTCCCTCTTCCCTTTTCTGGAAACTGTGAGGTTATTTTTGGAGTTCCTTAGAGTACTAAAATTGATGAGGAATGTGATGAAACCGTGTTGCGTATAGTAAACTAACTTTTCATATTTCCCTGTCTTACAGTATCCATTGTGGTTTCCTATTTCTTTGAGTAAAAATCTAAGACTTGTTACCATAGTAGTAATGAGCAGCTCACTGCCCTTTCACTTCCTCTTCTATCACAGCACAAAGAGAAGACATGGGAAACTTTCTCAGTCACCTTTCCTTATCTCTACTCTTCAAAACAATGCATTTGTTGTAAAATCAGAACAGGGTTAACCCACAATTTGAACATCACTGAAAATATGTAAAGGTTGATAGTCTAAGTGCTTTTTCGGGTCATTTTTGTCTCCGTTTGGGGCAGTGAATTTTTAGAATTCAACGTTTCTCTACCTCAGCTTGCATTAAGCTTTGCAGTATAGGATATACATGTGAACGCTAGTGATCATGATTGGTTATTAGCATTTTGTGCTTTAAAAAAAATCACTGTTAGTCAAATCTTTTTTACTGTGATCACATATTTCTAGTTTTCATGTGTACTTCATGTATGAATTTGTCAGATCTTGGTCATTATGCCTTTTTTTTAATCTAAATGTCAATGGTTATTTTTCCATTTTTTAGCTTTTAAGATGATCAGAACATAACTGGTTTCCTTATTAAAATCAAGGGGTAAAAACAAATATGCTTTTACTAGCACCATTAAATCTAGAGAGAAAATAACGTTAGTGTAGCGAGGAGCGTTACAAAAACATTTGTATATGGTTCTAAAAACTATTTTATACTTATGACAAATTTAAACTATAATATTCTTAAACATAGAAGGAGAAAGACATGGTTTTGGGACTACCTCTGCTAAGTAATTTGGAATGATTAGAAGTAACCATTTAGCAATTTGCTTCATTCCTGTCAGTTTAATAAATACTGTTTTATCTGCTTCTCTCTTAAAACCTCATGTTGTAATATGTAGCCCCATATACTCTTTAGCTAATATTCTGCTTTTTTATGCTGGCAGCAAGTACCAATTATTTTGCAATCAAGAGTGCTCTAACACCCAAATACTTAGAACTTGCAAGAGTAGATTGGAGGTGGGAGAGGCTTTCTTAGAAAACACTCAACCCTCATGAGACATTTGGTTAATTTGTAATTTTGACAGTTTTGGTGAGGCTGGACTGGAAAATTGAGTTGTGTGGGGAATCCTGGAAAGTTACTAATTCCATTAAGAGATCCATACCAATTTTATAGCTAGTAAGCAATACTATGATCCTTGAAAACCTTGAGGCTATGCCTCAACATGTAACAAGTATAGGTTTTGAATTACCCATCACTCCCATAATTTACCTGAAACCCCATGTCTTTCCCAAAATGCTGTCACATTCTAGTTAAGAACTGACATTTTAGATAGTTGACTGTTTCTTTATCTGTTTTATATAAATCTTTTTTTTTTTTTTTTTTTTGAGGAAGATTAGCCCTGAGCTAACTGCTGCAGTCCTCCTCTTTTTGCTGAGGAAGGCTGGCCCTGAGCTAACATCCGTGCCTATCTTCCTCTGCTTTATATGTGGGACACCTACCACAGCATGGCATGCCAAGCAGTGCCATGTCCGCACCCGGGATCTGAACTGGGGAACCCCGGGCCGCTGAAGTGGAATGTGCGCACTTAACCACTGCGCCGGCTCCTGTTTTATATAAATCTTACTTTACCCCCATAACCCTTATTAAAGAAAATAACTGTAATCGCCTTGAACAATAGGAATAAAGGGGCAGAGGAATGTGATTTAGAATCAAGACAAGGGCCTACTTAAATTATACCTACCCTCCTGGATTGATGGCTCAGGTGAGAATTGATGCCTAAAAGAGTACTCATAAGTGATGAGGGAGCATAGTGGAATTTCTCAATTGGTTTGGCGTTTTAAAGAGATGGGCAAGTACCTTACAATTGCTTATTGCTCCATAGTACACCATATCATTTGTTACCTGCTGAATTTTATGATTTTTAAGAAACAGATTTCACTTTCCATTTGATATTATTTACTGTGCATCTCCCTTCTCCCTCTCTTTCCCCCAACATCTTTTTCTCTAAAGGTGTTTAATTCAAGTTGATAGCATATTTTTCTCCTCCTTTATACTTTAAGGTAAATATATTTAAACACCTGTGAAAATACAGTCGTGTGTCACTTAACGACGGGGATACATTCTGAGAAATGCATCGTTAGTCGATTTTGTCATTGTGCAAACATAGAGTGCATACTTACACAAACCTAGATGGTATAGCCCACTTAGGCTATATGGTACTAGTGTTATGGGACTGCCGTCATTTATGCAGTCTATCATCAACCAAAATGTCATTATGCAGTGCATGATTGTACAGTAATGCAAAATCCTTAAAAGGTCATATTCAGTTGATTGATTTTGTTGCATTGGCAGAGTGAAGATAGTCCGAGTCCCAAGAGACAGCGCCTCTCTCATTCAGTCTTTGATTATACATCAGCATCACCAGCTCCCTCACCACCAATGCGACCATGGGAGATGACATCAAATAGGCAGCCCCCTTCAGTTCGACCAAGCCAACATCACTTCTCAGGGGAACGATGCAACACACCTGCACGCAACAGAAGGAGGTTAGTTGATTACAATTTATTTCTTAAATTTTTTCCCATTGGTAGACTTGTGAGTTTTTTTAACATCAGAAAGCATTTTTTCTGTAGGCATTTTATAAAGACATCAACACATCTGTATTCATACACTCACACATTGCGAAACAACATTGCAAATTGTTTAGATTCCCACACTAGATCATGAGAATTCATTTAGCTTGTGGTTGACAGATGCAGAAACTGAAAGAGGCTAAAGTGATCGTACCTAAAATCAATATGCCATTATATATGAATTCAGCTACCTTGTGGCTTAAGACTGTGGGCCAGCCTGCCATCCTGATTGTAGAAGAATGCATTTTTGTAGTTCATGACTGTAAGGAAATATGGAGACCCTAGAAATTTGCTGCATCTTCTCCAGTCCGTTCCTATTCCTACTGTATCTTCTAAGGCAATTGAGAGCTTAATTCGGTTTCTTATAAAACTGTGGAGTCTGTGGTATGAAAGAGTGACTGAGCAGTAGTTCCCCTCTCAGTTCTCTTTTCCATGGAAGTTGGCTCCTGCCTTTCTTTCCTTCCCAGAGGAATGCATTTCTTCCTGATCTTCTTCCTCTTCAGTTGTTGCCTGAGGTTGTCCATTTCTTCTTCCAGGGAAATCATGCATCCTTGGGCTGAGACAACTGTTTGCATGTCTGGGGTGCTGATAATCTCAGAAATACTGATAATCTTGAGTTAGGAAGGTGTTATGTACTGAATGTTTGTCGCTCCTCAAAATTCGTATGTTAAAGCCCTTAACCCCCACTGTGGCTGTATTTGGAGATGGAGCCTCTAAGAAAGTGATTAAGTTGAATGAAGTCATCAGGGTGGGGCGCTGATCCCATAGAATTAGTGTCCTTATGAGAAGAGGCACCAGAGAGCTCACTCTACTCTCTGTGGCATGTGAGGACACAGGGAGAACGTGGCCATCTGAAAGCCAAGAGAGAGTTCTTGCCAGAAACCAACCATGCTGGCACCTTGATCTTGGACTTTTAGTCTCCAGAACTGTGAGAAAACAAGTTTCTGTTGTTTAAGCCAACCTGTCTGTGGTATTTTGTTATGGCAGCCCTAGAAAGCTAATACTGCAGGATCTTAAAACCACAGTTCTTTGTTCCAAATGAGACAAAATAAACCTTTTTCTGTTGAGACACTAAGACTTTCATTACCTGGTTCCTTAAGTGAAATGATGTATGTCAACCAGGTAAAATATTTTATAGCTGTTAAGTATAATAACCAACTGTATTTTCTCATGCTATTTCAAGGCTAAGTACCTGCAGTATTTCTTTTTATTGTATGGTGAAATGTATCACACATTCAGAAGAACATGTAAAACAAGTGTATACTTAACACTTGGCTACATGTACCCAAACATTACACACACAAGTGTACCCAACACCCAGATTAAAATTCAACATTGTCAGTACCTCAGAATCCCCCCTTCTTCCTTTCCAGAGATTAAACCCTATCCTGTGACTTGTCATCATTCCCTTATACTTTTTAATGCCTGTAAATGTATTCTAAAAAAGTTTTGGTTTTTGCGTGTTTTATTTTCACTTAAGTATGTTCTTCTTTGACTTTGTGTATTAAACATTCTGTTTTTAATGTGGGTAGCAGTAGTTTATTTATTTTTACTGTGATATCTTTTGTTATATCAATATACCATAGTTTATGTGTCCATCTACTGTTGGATAATGGTTATGCCCAGTTTCTTACTGTTATAAAGAGTGCTACTAGGAGCCTTTATGTACACATCTCCTGGTGTATATAAGTCTAGGAGTACAGTTGCTAGGTCATAGGAAATGCTCTGAACCAGAAAGGGAGTCACAAGAAGTGTCTTTCCAGATGATAACAGTAACTAGCTATGGGTTCTTTTTTTTTTCTTTTTTTTTTTAATAAAGATTTTTTGTTTCCGTTTTCTCCCCAAAGCCCCCCGGTACATAGTTGTATATTCTTAGTTGTGGGTCCTTCCAGCTGTGGCATGTGGGATGCCACCCCAGCATGGCCTGATGAGCAGTGCCATGTCCGCGCCCAGAATCCGAACCAGCGAAACCTTGGGCCGCCGAAGCAGAGCTCACAAACTTAACCACTCGGCCAGGGGGTTGGCCCCTAGCTGTGGGTTCTTGAAGAGAAGCATCATGTTCTAGGTTCATGGAAACACAAAGGAGAAATAGGGGGCACTTACTAGAAAACCAGCTACAGGCTTGTTCTGCCCAGCAGTGTGTTATTCCTTTTAGTACTTCATTATAGGCTAGCTATAGCTTAGCTGCTAGATTTCTTCCCAGAAGTGGGCTATCCAGGCGTATGCAATATTCAGCAACAGTCTAGCATAATTTCAAATGCAAAGATGAGCACACAACCAGAAATTACCAAACATTTGAGGGAAGCCAACAAAGTGGAAGAAGGGCTGACTAAACTCAGTAAACAAAGAACTTGAGGAAACAGTTAATAGAACAAAGAATTTTAGAATAAGTGTCACATGAGAGAGACGCAAGAAGATATTATATCCATAAAAATCAACTAGAAATCTTAGTTAGTAAAACTTTAAAAACCCAATAAATGGGCAGAAAAAGTGTCTCAGTTCCTGGAAGATCAAGTTGAGGACTTTTCCCAGAATGTAGTATAAAAGGGCAAAATGGAAAGTGTGGGAAAGTTAGTTTAGATGCAGAGACAGAGCCATCAGTTCTAAATATGTCCAATATTTTCAAACAAAGACTATAGAAGGGAAACATTTTTAAAGAAATAATACAAAATCATTTTCCAAAATTGAAGAAAGACCGAATGTTGGACAAGATCTTGGTGAAGTTTCAGAACATATATCAAGGATAAATATTCGTGAATAGCCCAAGACAGAAAACTTGGAGTTGTACCAGCTCATATATCATTTAAGTGTAAAGCCAGAATATAAAAGCATTTCAAACATCAGAGACAAAAAAAGTTGACCAGCAAGAGATCCTCTCTGAAGGAATTATTAAATATTATACTCTGTCCAGGAAGCAGAAGAATAAATGCATGAAGTAGGATTCAAAACCATTGGTTTAGCAAAGGAAACAAGAAAGACATGTTCCAGACATATGTCTGAATAAAAGTCTACTGTTTAAAAAAGAGAAAGAAATACAGAAAAGATCTGAACATGAGGTAGAAACAGAGCAGAGAGAAGTAAAAGCGTATTAAGTTTTAATTTTCTCCCCAGGAATGCTGAGTAAATCTAGATGTTTTTAGAAAAATGGAAGTATGTGTTTAAAAATTTAAGGGTAATCAGTAGAAGAATAGAACTAGAACATAGAACTTCCATGCAGTGAAACAGGTAAACAACATATCCAGTCACACACTGCATAACAATGTTCAGTCAACCACCAACCACTTATATGATGGTGGTCCCATAAGATTAGTACCATCTAGCCTAGGTGTTTAGTAGGCTGTACCATCTAGGTTTATCTAAGTGCACTCTGATGTTGGCACGATGACAGAATTGTTAAGTGCTGCATTGCCTGTTTAGGAAACTCAGTCCAACAAAAGGCAAGTAAGTGAGACCAGGAGGGGACAGCTTTGTGCTAATTACAAGTGATAAACCTACAACAAAATGACAAAATACATATCTATCACTGGTATAAAGTCAAAGAAATATTTATCTGTCTTTTATCACTGTTTCTTATTTCTAGATTTCCCGATAATTCTGCTTCCTAAATGTTCTGTCACAAAGGCACACATAACAGAGATTCAATAAGAAGCAATACAGGAAAGATAGGGACCAAAATCGTAAAGGGACTTAGATGTCAGCACGAGGACTTGGATCTTAGTTTGTGTTTAGTTCCAAAGTTGTTGAAATTTTGGGGGGTTTTTTTCCTCCTTCTCCCCAAAGGCCCCCACTATATAGTTGTATATTCCAGTTGTCCTTCTGGTTCTGCCGTGTGGGACACTGCCTCAGCATGGCTTGATGAGCGCTAGGTCTGCGCCCGGATCCAAACCTGCGAAACCCTGGGCCACCAAAGTGGAGCATGCAAACTTAAGCACTCGGTCATGGGGCTGGCCTCTGTTGAAGTTATTTTTGAGTAAGGAAGTAAGAGCAAGTGGCAATAAGAGAATAAAACAATGTTAAAAGAGGCCCGTAAGGGTTGTGGACAGGTTGAGTATTTTTTTGGGAGGTGAGTGATCTGAACATACATATTCTGTTTGGATTTTAAGGTACACATTTTTTCGCATGTTAACATCGGATAAAGACTTAAAATTGATGACATATCTTAGTTGAATTGGCAGCTTTTTCTTCTTTTTAGTGATACATAAAACAATCCTTTAAAATATTTGTACACCTATAGATAGAGATATGTGTATGTACATGAGTTAGCATACATAGGTAAATTTTCTTGTTCTGTTCTCTTAGACTAGAAACAGTAACTACTGTGTAGCAGTGAGCACACCTAGTTTCTAAATACCATTCTGAAATTAAAGGAACCAGGGCTCTTTGGAGAACTGGTTCATTCCACAACTGGTGTAGGCAAAATACAAGATGAGCCTAGAACATATCGTGCCAGAAATTAAGGCAGTGCTCAAAAGGATAGGGACGTAGTGAAAGGGCACAGGGGCCAAAGCGCCAGTGCAAGTGGACGAAGTTGAAATGATTTGAACAACAAAGTAAAATGATTGTGTCGATTATAACCCAAAGAATAAATATCCATGATCCCATTCTGATCATAAATAACTAGATAAATAAATGGAGAGAAGCAACAATTCTTCCTTATAGAATTCCAATTAATACATGTAGAGGAAATGAGGTAAATAGGAAATCAGCATTAGAATACTGTGTAATAGTGATTGCTGAAGATCCATGCATGCTTGCTTAAATTTTTGGTGAAACTTTCAGCAGAAGCAGAATATTTGCATGGTCTCAGAGTATCTCCCCCCAAATGTTTGATAATTACAAAGGGAAGAATGGTCGTTTTGTAGTAGAGGGTCTTAGTAGATGCCAGTTTAGTCAAGTGATCAATGATACATACATATGCACTAGTGATACATATCAATATCGTGTGCCCCTTGATCTGATACACTGAAAAGGGCTTATCACCTCTGTGATATTCTTTCCAGTAATGCATTCACTCAGGCAGATTATGAGCAAACATCAGACAAACCCAGGTTGAGGGACCTTCTGTAGGGTAAATGTCTGTATGTCTTCAAAGGTATCAAAGTCATGCAAGACAAGGAAAAAATGAGGAACTATCAGACCGGAGAAGATTAAGGAGACATGACAACTATATGCAGTCATGGGATCCTGCATTGGATTCTGAAACAAGCAGGGGACATTGGTGGAAAAACTGAAGTCTAAGTACATTCTCTTGTTGAATTAATAGTACAATACCAGTTATTTTGATAATTTTTCTATGCTTATGGAAGATAATAGCATGAAGGAAAGCTAGGTGACAGTTGGGCAAAAACTGTACTAAAATTATCTCCGAATGTTTAAAAAGTGAGTTCTAAGGTGTATGGCATCTTAAAATCAATGAGGGGCCGGCCCGGTGGTGCAGCGTTAAGTTCGCACGTTCTGCTTCTCGGCAGCCTGGGGTTTGCTGGTTTGGATCCCGGGTGTGGACATGGCACCGCTTGGCAAAAGCCATGCTGTGGTAGGCGTCCCACGTATAAATTAGAGGAAGATGGGCACGGATGTTAGCTCAGGGCCAGCTTTCCTCAGCAAAAATGGGAGGTTTGGCAGTAGTTAGCTCAGGGCAAATCTTCCTCAAAAAAAAAAAAAAAACAATGAAATACAACATGTAGATTTTGGAGCAAAGATACAAAAAGAAATATACTAAAAATAAAGATACAGAAGCAATTAATGGGGCAAGATATAATTAATGGTATCAAGAACACTGTTGAGTTAATGTTGCGAAGGAGTGGCCCTGTTTGCTTTAAGATTGGGCAGTTGGGAGTGAGAAGAAACAGATTTAGAGTTGCAGAGTGGGACAATTGAGGGAAAGGTGACCTGACCCCAGGAAAGATTGCTGAGGTGGCTTGTGCAGCTGTGTCTAGAAGGAGGCTGGGGGCTGTTTTACCTCTTTTGCCCAATGTGGAGTACATTTTGATGAGGACTGCTGCTTTTTCCAATTGTGTTGGTGTGAGCCATTGTAAAAAGCAGTGAAGATGAATTATGGAAATGTAGAGGAAAAAAATGAAAGTCTACTCACAATAACAACTGCTAAAATTTGTTAAACTACGTAGATGACTAGTCCATGGGGAGTAAAAGTGGTTTCTTTCAATAACCAGATTCTAACTCAAAATTCTGTATATTACTGGAATATATATGCTGACATGCAGTCATTTCCATTCTCAGCATTTACTCAGTTCTATTATATTTGCCAGTGTCAACAAATTAAATGTTCTTTAGTTATTTCATGTGTTTTCTCCTCTCATTTTCAAAAATTGCCATTTGGGGCATATGGGAACTATGTCTTTCTGTATGTTTTAGCCAAATAGACAAACATGAAGTACCCATTAGGCATATGTGGAATACTGGCAAGATATATGCAGATTAAAATTTTTTATATGATATTTATAAAGTAGAGCAAAAATAGTAGGTTCAACCATATGAAATTGCTGATATTTGACTATTTTTGGCCTATAAAAAGGACAGTTTCGTACAGTTAAACCAAAAAAAAATGACAGTGTTTGGCTATGGATTTCTAAATGCTTTTGGAGCTGAATACCAATTTTGTTTTCTTTTGTTATTTTTATTTATTTATTTTTATCCTTTCTTTTGTGAGGAAGATTGGCCCTGAGCTAACATCTGTTGCCAACCTTCCTCTTTCTTTTCCATCCCCAAAGCCCCAGTACATAGTTGTATGTCCCAGTTGTAAATTATTCTAGTTTTTCTATGTGGGATGCTACCTCAGCATGGCTTGATGAGCGATGAGTAGGTCCATGCCCAGGATCTGAACCTGTGAATCCCAGGCCACTGAAGTGGGGCCCACGAACTTAACCACTCGGCCATGGGGCTGACCCCATTATTTTTTTTAAAAACCGTATACGTTCTGTTTCAATTTGTAAGTTTTCAGAGCTGATGGAGAACCACAGTAATTATTTAGTACTCAAGCTTACCTTGGCATATCCTACTGATGGATTGCAAAGAAAGACAATACAGAATCTTGATTGGTCATAACAATAAACATTATAACGACCTTTTTGATATTTGCTGTATTACAGTCCTCCTGTCAGGCGCCAGAGAGGAAGAAGGGATCGTCTGTCTCGACATAATTCCATTAGTCAAGATGAAAACTATCACCATCTCCCTTATGCACAGCAGCAAGCAATAGAGGAACCTCGAGCCTTCCACCCTCCAAATGTGTCTCCCCGTCTGTTACACCCTGCTGCTCATCCACCCCAGCAGAATGCAGTAATGGTTGACATACATGATCAGGTAATGTAACAGAGTGTCTAGAAAATGCACTTGCTAAAATTTGGTGGCAGTTTATTGAGGTTGTTTTTTGTTGTAAATTTCTTTAATTTTACCTAAAAGGAAACACTGTTACCTAAAATGAAGCTGTTTCAGATAAGTCCATCTTTCTTCATAAGGATTGAAATTTAAATTCTATACAGCTTTGTTAGGAAGTTGAACTTTAAAAAATTAGGATCAAGGTTATGAAAGCTCAGAATGACTTCATATAATAGTTGGTTTGAAATGATTGATCGAGAATTGGTAGGAGATCAGACAGCTGGTCATGGTTTGAGTACATGTCCCTATTGCCCCTCTTCCTTCTACTTTCTTCTGGAATAATTCAAATGACAAGACAGTTCGGTGCATCTTTGCTCAAAGGTTTCCATAGGTCTCCAAGGAGATGGCAGGTACAAGACTGCATTTCCCTTTGTTCCTGCCAGGAACTGAAGGACTAGCTGAGGAGAGAGCTTGCCAGTGTTCGAGCCTGAAGATGAAGACAAAAACTGTATGATTTTCTGTGGAGTTTCTGAGGTCAAAAAAGACACAAATCTAGATGTATTCTTATAAAGTTGCTGAATTTGAAGGATAAGGAGAAAATCTTGCAAGTTTATAGACATGAGAAATTTCAAAGGAAAGAGACTCAGACTAGCATCCCATTTTTCACCCACTACACTGGATGATAGAAAACAGTGAAAATACCGTCTGATGACAATTTGAAAGAAAATAATGATCTCGCCTAGATACCATTCTTAGGTCAAACATGTTCTACCCTTATGTTCGTGAAACACTTTAAAAAATTGATCAAGTAATAATAAGCTCTAAAAAGAGGTTTTTTCAGACCACATTCTTTGTGGTCATAATATAATAAAGCTATACATCATAAGTAAAAAACATTGATTTAAAAAATGATGATACTGAAATGTTTGAGGTGAGGTTATAATTAAAAGGAAAAATCTTCATATCAAAGTCAGTGGGACACACCTAAAGCTGTTTGAAAAAATTTTATAAACTTTTATTATTTATTTTTAAAATTGAGAATAAATGAACTAATTGCTTTAGTAATTAGAGAAAAAAAATAGCAGAGTAAGCCAAAAGGACTTGAGACGCTTAAGTTACCAGGAGAAACAACTAAAATTAATGATATGGAAATCTATTTTTTTTTCTTAAGGATTGGCACCTGATCTAACAACTGTTGGCAATCTTCCTTTTTATTTTTTCCCCTACTTTTTCTCCCCAAATCCTGCCAGTACATACTTGCATATTTTAGTTGTGGCATATGGGACACTACCTCAGCATTGCCTGATGAGCAGCGCCGTGTCCACACCCAGGATCCAAACTGGTGAAACCCTGGGCCGCCAAGTAGAGCTCCGGAACTTAACCACTCAGCCATGGGGCCGGCCCCTGGAAATCTATTTTTAAAGAAGGAAGTAACACAAAGAAAACCCAATCCTGGTGTTTTGAAAATTGAGAAGAATGGTACACCTCTTGTGAATGTGGCTAAGGAGAAAAGAACAAATGTAAAGAAGAGTAGAGATGATAAAAAGACATATATCCATACATCTGGGAAATATTCAAAGGATTTTCTTCAGATGTAAAACAAAAATAGCACCTGTTTGATAAGAGGTGTTGGGAGAATTAAGAGTTAGTCCATTTTGAGTACTTAAATTGGTACAAGTGGTAAGTGCTCAAGTATTACTTCATTATTAACTATTATAATGAAATTCTGTATATAACCTTGAGAGGATGAAAAGAAAACTTAAGAGGATGTTCCAAAAATTAACCTAGGAATAATAAGAAAATCTGAATTACCATAGAAGTGTGAAAGCTAATTGGGGATTTACCATTTAAAAGGCACAATGATGGCTTCACAGCTTTCTTCCTAACCTTTAAAGAAGGCTCATTTTAATAATAGATAAATGATTCCAGGCTGTTTTTGTTTTGTTTTTTTCTTTTCTTTCTTGTTTTTTTCTTTTTGAGGAGGATTAGCCCTGAGCTGACATCCACCACCAATCCTCCTCTTTTTGCTGAGGAAGATCGGCCCTGAGCTAACATCCATGCCCATCTTCCTCTATTTTATATGTGGCATGCCTGCCACAGCGTGGCTTGACAAGCAGTATGTAGGTCTGCACCTGGGATCCAAACCGGTGAACCCTGGGCCGCCAAAGCAGAGCATGCAAACTTAACCGCTAGGTCACTGTGCTGGCCCCCAGGCTATTTTTTTTTTTTTTAAAGGTAAGTTCTCTATTTTATGAAGCCAGCATAGCTTTAATACCAAAAGCAAATAAAGATATAATCCCCAAAAAACTATGGGAAAAAATTCAGATACATAGAATTTCTAAATAGATGTCTAGAAAAAACGGTCTAGCAGTGTATCAAAAGAAGAATAACCATGGCTGAATGGTTAAGTTCACGCACTCCGCTTTGGCTGCCCGGGGTATTTTTGGTTCGTATCTCAGGCGATGTTGAGGCGGCGTCCCACACAGCGCAACTAGAAGGACCCACATCTAAAATATACAACTACGTACTGGGGGGATTTGGGGAGAAAAAGCAGGAAAAAAAGAAGATTGGCAATGGTTGTTAGCTCAGGTGCCAGTCTTAAAAAAAGAATATCATATGACCAATTAAGATTTATTTCAAGTAAGAGGATAGTTTAATATGAAAATACTCACATTACCTCAACAAATACAAGGAAAACTGTACTACATCAAAAGATGTTGAAAAAAAGTCAGTTAAAATTTAATAAAATAGAACAAGAAGGAAATTAGTTAAATACAATGAATAAAACAGTAAGTATGCTGATCCGTGAGAGACAAGTCAGCAACCAGAGAGATGCTTGCTCTATCCATTTTTATTTAATCTTATGTTAGAAGTTCTGCCAAATGCAATAAGACAATGTAGTAATGGATATAAAAGAATGAAAGAAATAATTGTATCTTTCTCCCCCTCGTCATATAATTGTAGAGGAAAACACAAGAGATTCTAGTTTAAAAGAATTTGATGTGGTGCCTAAATGCAAATTAAATGTAAAGAAAGCAAACGATAACATGTTGATCAGCTGATGAATAGATACAATATGGTATGTCCATATGATGGAATATTATTCACTCAAAAAGTAGTGAAGTACTGATTCATGCTACATCATGGATTAACCTTTAAAACATGCTAAGTCAAAGAAGCCAGTCACAGAAGGCCACAGATTGTATGATTCCATTTATATGAAATGTCTAGCATAGACAGATTCATAGAAATGGAAAATAGGAATAAAACTGCTTATCATTAGTAGAATGACAGAATAAATTATACCTCCATACCATGGAATGTAACGATTACAAAGAATTAATTAGAATTATGCCAGCAATGTGAGCAATATCTGCAACATATTGTTGAACAAGAAAAGCAAAATTGAGGAAAGTGTTATGTCTTATTTTGTGAAGCATGGCAATTAAATGTATGTATATAGATGGAACTGTATGAACACAGAGAAAAGTATGGAGAAATATATACTAGGCCTGAGAGGTAGGTACTAAAGTGAAGGGAAGGGGAAGGTGGTTAGGCATGGAACCAAAGAGAGAAAAGGAAAAGTCAGATCTCATTTATGTAAAATTATGTCTTGGGGGGCTGGCCCCGTGGTTAAGTTCGTGTGCTCCGCTGCAGGCGGCCCAGTGTTTCGTTGGTTCGAATCCTGGGCGTGAACATGGCACTGCTCATCAAACCACGTTGAGGCAGCGTCCCACATGCCACAACTGGAAGGACCCACAACGAAGAATATACAGCTGTGTACCGGGGGGCTTTGGGGAGAAAAAGGAAAAAATGAAATCTTTAAAAAAAAAAATTATATATTGCGTCTGCATATGGAGAAATGAAACAATTACGTAAGTAAATACCAGAACAACCCAAGATGTAGAAAACCTGAACAGACCAATAGCCATGGCAGAAATTGAAGCCATAATAAAAAGCTTGTCTTCAGAAATTACATCTGACTTCTTTCTAATCTCTAAGGAAATGAAAATTCCAATTTAAACTATTCCTGATTATAGGAAAAGATACAAAGCTTCCAAGTATACTTTGTGAAGCTTGCGTACGTAACCTTATAATAAAACCTCATAGACAGTATCACGGAAGAAGGCTGTCAGCTAGTTTCCCTTTGGAAGACAGATGCAGGTGTTTTAAATAGTAAACCATAAGCTGGTGATACAGTAAGAGAGTCTATTAGAATTATTGGAAGAATGATTATTAGAGTTTATTCTGTCAGTGCAGGTTAAGTAAACATTAGGAAATCTTTCAAGGTAATTGATTTCATCAGTATAAAGGGAAAATGTTTTATTTTGTTAATGGTTGCAGAAACTGTAAATTTAGTCATCATTTCTTTTTTTAATTTTTTTTGTAGTGAAATGTTTGATGTCTTTTTTTATGGAGGTAACATTGGTTTATAACATTATATAAATTTCAGGTGTACATCATGTTTCGATTTCTGTGTAAACTACATGCTGTTCACCACCCAAAGACTAATTACCATCCATCACCATACACATGTGCCCAGTGACCCCTTTCACCTGTCTCCCTCCCCCCTTCCCCTCTGGTAACCACCAGTCCAATCTTTGTATCTATGTGTATGTTTGTTGTTGTTTTTATCTTCTGTTTATGAGTGACATCATATGGTATCTGACTTTCTCCCTCTAACTTATTTCACTTAGCATAATGCCCTCAAGTTCCAATCATGTTGTTGCAAATAGCAAGGTTTCATCTTCTTTTACAGCTGAGTAGTAGTATACCATTGTGTATATATAGCACATATTTTTTTTTTCCATTTGTCCCTTTGTGGGCGCTTAGGTTGTTTCCAAGTCTTGGCTATTGTGAATAATGCTGCAGTGAACATAGGGGTGCATGTATCTTTATGCATTCATGTTTTCATGTTCTTTGAATAAATATCAGCAGTGGAATAGCTGGATCATATGGTAGTTCTATTAATTTTTTGAGGAATC